AAGGCTTGGAAGGCTAAAATGAAGGCAATTGTGAAGTTGTTTGGGGACTGGGAAAAATCATATGCCATCTTACCTGGTTGGCTGACCTACATGACACAGATAAATCCTGGTTCTGTGTTCAAGATTGATACGGATCAGTGTTGTGACGAACGACGTGTCTACACCGATAAGGCTGTCTTTCGCAGGGTATTTTGGACTTTTCACCAGTGCATTGAGGCTTTCAAATATTGTAAACCCATAATCCAAATTGATGGCACGCACCTGAACGGGAAATACAAAGGTACCCTCTTGATTGCTACGTCACAGGATGGTGATGGATTCATTCTGCCTATTGCGTTTGCCATTGTTCCACCGGGTGAGAGATTGGATGATTGGTTGTGGTTTCTTAGCCAGATGCGTTTCCATGTCACACGTAGGCATGGTATATGTCTAATATCCGATCCTCACCCCAGCATCATCAGGGCTGTGAAGGATCATGCCGGTTGGCAGCCTCCATTTGCGTATCACGTTGGAAGCAACTTCAACACTAAGTTTACGGACGTGGAACTGAAGAAAACGCTAATGAAACTAGGTAACCTATTTACATGAATGTGTACATGTTGTTTGTAATGTTGTTTATGTATAACTCATTGCAATTTGGGTTCATTTTTTTGCAGGTTACATGTGTTCGAAGATTCACTTTGATTTAAGATTTCAAGAATTTGTCGACAGTAACCCACAAGTAGCCTCATGGATAGATCAGATTCCCAAAGAGAAATGGTGCAGATCTTATGATGAGGAGGGCCGAAGGTTTGGTCATATGACGACTAACCTATCTGAGTGTATCAATAAGGTCCTACGGGGTGCACGTAATTTTCCAGTAACGACATTGGTCAAGATGACGCAAAGTAGACTTGTAGAGTATTTTGTGAAGAGGCGTGAAAAGATCCAAAAAGTAAAGGACAAAGGCTGGAGAATTGCAAAAAAGGTTGAGGACTTCTTACAAAAGAATGATCAGTTAACTGCCAGTCTCTGTGTCCGTGTTTTTGATAGAGACTTGCAGTTGTTTGAAGTTGAGGATGCCTAAAATCAATCTACGCATGATGCCGGCGACATTATGAGGGTTGACTTGCTAAATCGTAAATGTCAATGTGGACGGTTCACAGCTAGACGATTTCCTTGCAGTCGTGTGCTAGCGGTGTGCAAGGTTGAAAAATTGAACCACTATGACTATGTCGATCCTGTGTTCTCAATTACACAAATTGAGAAGGTCTATGCTGCACATTGGTTTCCAATGGGTAATGAGTTGTTGATCCCAGAAATAGATGGTCCAACTTTAATCCCAAATGCATCTTTGGTTTGTGCATAAGGTAGACCGAAGTCTTCAAGGATACAGAATGAAATGGATTGGGTTGAGTCCCAACCCACAAGCAGTCAAACTAGATGCAGCACCTGCAAGCAAATTGGTCACAATAAACGTACATGTCCTATGAGGATTAATCCTAGCTGAACCAATGTTGTGCATGTATTTAAGGTCTTTTGTAAGAGTTCATGTAATTTTGTTATGAATTTTGATGTTACTTTGTGTTACTGTATAACTCATTATGTAATTTGACATTTCATTTCTAAGTCCATTATCTAACATTGGTCCATATTGATAGATTGAAACTCATAACTAATACTAATATTACCAAAAAATTAAATCACCAAGTTTCGGGGAGCGTAAACAAACGGTTTGGGGTAATACGTACCCAATCACATACGAATCCTGTACAATACTATTTTGTACCTGAAAGTGTGTTCCCCAAGTCATTATATGCGTGTACAAGTCGACTAAACCAGTACAGGTTGCTCGACGAAATAACTGGTTTTGACACCCCATTCTGTTTTGCACGCATTTTTTTGGCACGGAACCGATCGAATATCAATGTACACGCATATAATGACTTGGGGAACACACTTTCAGGTACAAAATAGTATTGTACAGGTTATAAACCACGAATGTACATGTATTGCATAAATCTTGGGTTAGGGTATCCGAAACTTGTGTTCTTCATTTAACTCTGTTATGAGCACCTGTTCTGAATTTCATTGGACATTTTAGACCCGTTGGACTGTGATTAGACACAAAATGAAAACAAGAAGGTAAAAGATATTTGTTCCTTCATTTGGAAAACAAGAAAACAGCAATAATTACGTAAACGGTTCACAACATGATGGGAACATCAAATAGTTCATTTCATAACCATAATATTACATAAACTACAAATGTCAAATAGGAAGACCGAAGTCAATTACATAACAACATACACTACAAACGTAAAATAGAAACATAAACCCTAAATCTAATCCTTATCCTCCTCGGACGCCGTCTCCTCGTCATCCTCATCTGACACATCAGCCCCCTGCCCTGCAACATCCTCAATCTACTGCCCTCGTCCAAGCTCTAGACGAGCAAGCCTATCTTCAACACCCTTGAACCGTCCCTGTATATGTCTAAATCTTTCATTTCCCTTCTGCACGTGACTCTTCCTCCATTTTTTGTGTTTCAGCGCCATTTTTCCTATTTTCTTCAGCGTGGCGTTTATGCCCTTCATGACATCACGTAATGAAAGCCCACCCTCAGGCTCAGCTATCTCCTGCTGGTCACCCTCATCATCATCTTCATCATCATCCTCCACCTCGGGCTCAACCATGTCTACAACTGGAGCAACATCAGGAACCTCAACATCAGCCGCACCTGTGAACTGCCACACTCCTGTTTGGGGGTTCTTTGTCATCTTGCACTGCTCCAGTAGACGTTTTCCAAACTTATGATTATACCCTGTGGTCTTCTTCAAGGTCACATTACCCATGGGAACATCAAAATGCTCCAATATCCTCTGAACAAGACAAGCAAATGGAAGTGCACCCTTGTGTTTGGCCTTATACATCATCCAACAGATGTAGTGCCTCCAGTTCACCGAAGTACCGTGTCGGATAGCCCACATGATGGGAATGTCATGCTCCAACACCCTGGAATGATTGAACGCTCACGGAAACAGAATGTGGGTGATGACATAGTGTAGTATGCGGGACTCCACAGTAAGCAACCCCACCGTATAGGCAATGTGTTGCCCACAGGCTCTTCTCTGCTCCTGCACGGCATCACCGCGTGTATATCCTGGAAGTATGGTCCCGCTGTCTGCATCATATTCCACAGTCTGCGCAGAATCAAAGTCATACCCCAATAACTCCAACCATACCGGAGCCGTCATGATGATCTCCACCCCGCAGACCCTAGACCTCAGCTCACCCTGATGGTAGCTGAGGTTATGGTAGAAGGCCCGTACATGCAGCTCAGAATATGAACACGACAGTTCAGCCAAGGTCCTAAGATGTGATTCCTCCAACCACCTCACAATGTTAAAACCTTCTTGTTCAAAAAAGGCTGTATCAAGTGATTTGGCCCCACAAATCGGTCGGTTAACAAAGTCACGGACAAAAGATTCATGAACCACCGGGTTATTCCCGAACAAGTATTCGAATGGGAGGTCGACAGCAGTGGGGTCTTCCTCTTGTGGCCTTGACGAAGACGGACGGTCTTGTCGTAGCTTCTGTCGCCTCTCATTTCCAGTGCTAGACGATCTTCTATGGCCAGCCATGGAACAACTGTACCTACAATGCAAGTGGAAACAAAAATCAATGAACAATAACAATATCAAAAAATTTAAAATTCAACATAAAAAACAAAACCTAATCCTAAAATAAAACAGAAAACAGAAACCCTAACCCTGACCCTAAAACAGAAACCCTAACCCTAACCCTAGCACATCACAAAAACCCATTCCTTGCCCTAACACTACAACCCAAACAAAACAGCAACATAAACCCTAACCCTAACCCTAACCCTACCACTACCCTAACCCTAACCCTAACCCTAAGGCACCACATCAACCCTAACCCTCACCCTCACAACAAACTTAGCACCCTACCCCTAACCTAAATCCACAAAACCGCAAACAAAAATCAAATGCATGGAGAAAACAAAAAATAAAACTAAACTTAAAACCAAATGCAAGTCAAAATACGTTACCTAAATGTCGATTTCGCAAGTGTGAACCAAGGAAGCTTCAATCGCACCTTCAAGGGTTGAGATTCGGACTTGGTTGGAGAGAGGGGACGGAATGGAGCGATTTAGTCGATTAGGGTTTGAAAATAACCCCCTTTGCGAAATGAGGGGGTTTTTAAAAAACCTGATCTGCGACATTTAGTCGACTAAATAATGTGCTTAGTCGACTAAAAGTGCAAACAATGTAGTCGATTAAGGTGAGTTTTTAGTTGACTAAAATTCGCGTTTCATGATTTCTGAGTTTAGCCCATTTAGTCGATTAAAAGTGCAACTTAATCGACTAAATGTAGGCAGGATGATGGATAATTCTGAGGGAGGGACAAATTGGTTATTAATTATTTAATTAGGGACAAAAGGGTCAAAAAGCCCAGTTAAACATTTTTCCCTTCATTAATACACACAATATTCATATGTAATTAAAATTTTGAAAAACTATTTAATATGATTTATTATTTAATTATTCAATATAACGAATACTTAAAAATAATGTGGAAAAAAAGATATTGTTATTTGCATAAATAAACACGTTATATCTTTGCATAAATAAACACGTATTGGTTATGTGATAAATCATTTTGATTACACTGATGGATAATTTTTTTTTTTACAAATGTAGAAAAGTTTAATAACCTTTCGGTCGAATCCAAAACTCATAATTAATTATAATTTCAAAAATGGAACGAAATTTACGGGATGTTATTGCCTAGGATTCTTTTCCTTATCTAAAATTTGTGTCAATTTCTGATTAGGATAAATTAAAAAAAAAAACACAACAAAAATCCCAAAATTTGTGTCAATTTCTGATTAAGAAAATTTTGGACAACAAAGAAATAAAAAAGACAAAAGAGGACAACGGCAAGAAAAATAAAAATCCCAAAATTGGCCTTCCCTGATCCCTACACGTGCCTCACCATCCCTCACCTCTCTTTTGGGGTTTCTTCTCTCTCTCTCTCTCTCTCTCTTAGCTGCTGCAACTGTGTGTAATCTCAACAAGTACACAACGTGAAAAGCTTGTAGGTCCTGTTTTTTTTTTGTTCTTTTAGTTCTTACCCATGTTTTCATTTACCTTAATCTTTGCTCTCAAGCCATAGTTTCTTCTTTTTTTTTTTTTTTCTTTTTTTTATATATATATATTTTTATTGGTACCCTATCTAATTTGCATGTGTTAACTGACTCCTTTCTAATTTGCATGCTGGGAAATTGGTTTTTGTTACTTATGATTTGAGAAGACTTGAAATGGCTAGGTGACCCACTTGGAATCTGACTCCTTTCTTGTTTGCTTCAGATTGATGGTTGCTTCTGCATTTCTGTCTCTTTTTCTTAATTTTTAATTCATTTTCTCAATGCTTTGTATACCATAGTGATTGGAACTATGGAATAGTGTGTGTATATAGTATTACATGTATGAACTATGAACTCTTTAATTATTCATTATCATACAATTTGTTTTTTGTTCTTTGCTTTTTGATTGAAGTCCTTTTAATTGTTTCGGACTAGCATCCTGAGCTGCATATAAGAGTATAATTTACTTGTCCTTTTAGGATTTACTAGCCATCTCATAAGTAACCTCCCTTGGTTTACTGAACATCAGTTTGTTCTCTCTGTTTTTCTTTTTTTTTTTAGCTTAAATTTGTGTTCATGATATGTTTTACTGTGTTTTTGAATGTTAATGTTTTGCTCCAAATTAGCTTCTTTACTTTACTTTTGACCTTCTCTATTTAATTTATTGTCCATAAGATGTGTTTCTTGTTATTTGGGTTTCTTAATCATGTATAATCTTCTAACTCCTTTCAGTCTTCGGTAATTTTATTTTGCAAAACCTCTTTATAGCCAATGATTTCTACTTCTGTGGTTTCCCAAGTTGACTGCACTATGTATTCATATCATCAGTATAAAATAATGTAAATTACTGAAGAGGGTTATGGTATATATAAATTTGCCCTTGCCATGTTTACTCTGAAACATGGAAATGATGAAGAATCTACATAATCCCCAGTACATTGACCGCTTAAAATTCTTTCTCTTTACATATCTGTTAAAGAAGCCCCCTTAAAAGGACTTTGTGCTTTAGACCAAATAGACGCCAATAGCCTAATCTTATTTAAAATCACCTGCAGGGCTAGTGAATCCTCCTTCAAAATAAAATAATTACACTCTGCCAAATGCACCAAATAGTAGCATAGCTTGTAAATTGCCATAAAAAATTAGCCTGGTTACTTTGACCAAAACCACTAAAGTTAGTCAGCAAAAATAGGTCTAGGGACATGGCAGCTGGCATTCACCAAAAATATCAAATAATGTCCATATTCCATTAGGAGACAGCAGCAGAACAATGTAAGAATAGATGAGGAGCTGATCCTGAATTAGCACAACACATACACACATATCAGGTAAAAGAGGATATTGGCTGTGAATTCGCAACATGTCACAAGTATTAATTCTGTTAAGCACCACAGTTCAAATAAAAAAGACTTGACCTTAGAGGGAGCTTTGGACCTCCAATGGGGTTTACTATCAGAATATTTTAAATCTCTGTAAATAAATAAGTTCAGTTTTTAGGCATACCTGTTTCTCCTGTAGTCAAATTTTTGAGAGCCATACAGTTTCAATCAATTCTTTGGCAAGAATACCACATCTTGTCTCCTTTATAAATTCATGCTTAAATATTAAGCTTCTAGAGGTCTAGGATCTGATCCTTTTTCTAATTTGAAATTGTATCTTAAAACTTAATCTTTGAACAAGTATCTGACTATCTAATTACATGTGTCATAACCATAGTTGTTAATAGTGAATAGTACTTGTATAGTGTAGGTGGCTGATATGACTATAGCGTATAGTGCTTTGCATAGCACGATTGTATCAAAAAATAGTGATTTATAATTTTTTTAATGTTATTCAAAATGACATATATATATAGGGACAAGATCATTTGTTTTTAGTTTGACAACAAATCTTTAACCATTGTTTCCGCCAATCTGACAGTTATTATTTATTGGGAATTAATAATTAATTAATAAGTGTGACACAATAAATTACAACCGTTAGATTCATGGAAATCAACGATTAAGATTTGGTGTCAAAGGATGATATATATATATATATATATATATATATATATATATATATATATATCAACATCACTTTTAACCCAAGCTAATTGGGGTCAGTAGTAGATGAACCCAATGATAAATAAGTGGAGATTAAAAAAAAAAAAAAATACAAAAATAAATACAAAAATAAAAATAAAAATAAAATTAAAAAATTGGGGAAGGGGGAAATAAGATAAAAGACAAGAAGAGGAAAAGAAAGAGAGGGGGGATTGAAGAGGAAAAGGACTAAAAAGGGATTATCTGAAAAATAGGAATAACAACGGGTTTAACCTTCCACCCTGCTTATAGCTTTTCTCCATTCCGTCCTAAGACACACCGTCCGCCAATCTATATCCCACTCTGTAGAAAATCAGAATTTAAATTCAAATATTTTTCCGTTTTTATTTATTAGGAATAATTAAGATTAATTAGGATTGATTGTTTTTTATTTCCTATTAGTTAGGACTAATTGTAATTAATTAGAATTAATTGTGATTAGGTTTAGTGAGTCATAGCTGAGTCATTCTTATGATTGTGATTAGGTTTGGTGAGTCATAGCTGAGTCATGCTTAGCTATTTTTTCTTGTATAAATACTCCTCGTTCCTCATGTAATTATTCAATATCGATATACTGAAAACCTTTTTCAATACCACTCCATTAAGTTTTGTTTAACTACCTTTCCCCAGGTAAGTTTCGGTCTACCTCTACCTCTCTTTGTGTCGAGTTCTTGGTAACAAACTTTTATTCTTACAGGAGCATCCAGGGGCTGTCTTATTACATGCCCAAACCATTTCAATCTATGTTCTCTCATCTTTTCAGTTACCGGTACTACTTCTACCTTTCGTCGAATATCTTCATTTCTTATCTTATCCATCCTCGTATAACCACACATCCACCTTAACATCCTCATTTCTGCTACTCCTATTTTATGCTTGTGTTGCCTATGTGCTGGCCAACATTCAGCTCCATATAACATTGCAGGCCTTACTGCTGTCCTATAGAATTTTCCTTTTAGTTTAAGGTAAATTTTGCGTTCACACAAAAACCCAGATGCACTCCGCCATTTCATACATCCTGCTCTGATTCTATGATTTACATCCTCATCAATCTCACCACCTTTTTGCAAAATTGATCTCAGGTATCTAAAAGCATCTTTCTTGGGAACCTCTTGACCAAGTAGATGCACGAGGTCTTGTCTCCATCTCTTACCAGAGAAAACTCACACTTTATATACTCAATCTTGCTCCAGCTTAACGTGAAACCTTTAGACTCCAAAGTGCTTCTCTCCAATTCAAGTTTCCTATTAACACCATATTTGGTCTCATCAATAAGCACAATATCATCTGCAAAAAGCATACACCACGACACTTCCTCTTGAATGTCTTTTGTTAGTTCATCCATCACTAAGGCAAAGAGATAAGGACTCAGAGTCGAACCTTGGTGTACACCTACTGTAATAGGAAAATAACTTGATGTTCCATTACAAGCTTTCACACATGTAGTAGCCTCATCATACATATCCTTGATTTCAATTACATACTTTGATGATACTTTTTTCTTCTCAAGAACCCACCATAGAAATTTTCTTGGGACCCTATCGTATGCTTTCTCAAGATCTATAAACACCATATGTAAATCCTTCTTTTTTTCTCGATATCTTTCCATCAATTGACGCATCAAGAAAATAGCTTCTGTGGTACATCTTCCTGGCATAAATCCAAATTGATTTACAGAAATCTTGGTCTCTCTCCTCAAACGATGTTCAATAACTCTCTTCCACAACTTCATAGTATGGCTCATAAGCTTAATGCCTCTATAGTTAGAATAATTCTGGATATCTCCCTTGTTTTTGTAAATAGGCACAAGCACACTCTTCCTCCAAGCATCAGACATCTTATTTGTTTGAAGAATCTTATTGAAAAGATTGGTCAGCCAATTTATTGCCACCTCCCTCAAGCCCCTCCACACTTCAATAGGTACGCCATCGGGTCCCAAAGCTTTATTAGTCTTCATCCTCTTTAAAGCCTCCTTGACTTCATGTGTATTGATTCTGCGCACAAATCTTCTATTCAGATCATCATAAGCATCCTCCAAGTCCACCTCGCTTTTATCGCAATCCCCATTAAAAAGTTTGTTAAAGTAGTTCATCCATCTTTCATTTACATCGTCATCTCTTACCAAAAGTTTTTGGTTTTCATCCTTGATGCATCTAACTTGGGTGAGGTCTTTACTTTTCTTATCCCTCATTTTTGCAAGTATGTATATACCTTTTTCACCATCCTTGCTCCCAAGATTTTTATACAAATCGGCGAAAACCTTACCTCTAGCTTTGCACACTGCTTTCTTTGCATTTTTTCTCGCTAATCTAAACTTTTGCAAATTATCATCATTGGGACTTTTATGCAAAGATCTAAAGCATTCCTTTTTCTGTTTAATTGTCTCTTGCACCTCTCCATTCCATCACTATGTTTCCTCAGTATGGAATCGAATTCCTTTGCTTTCTCCTAGCACCCTCTTAAAATATAACTTGTTAAAACTAATCATCCAAGTAGGTCCTGAAATTCTACTTCTCTTACTCATATTAGCCACTTGAATTGAAAGTAATAGTAATTTTTAAAACCAATGGAAAGGAAATGAAGAGAGGCAAAATGGTAAGTGAGCAGAGCATCACTGCATCCAAAATGAGTATGCCACAGAGGTAGAAGATACAATTTGAAAGAACCCAAAAAGGTCAGACATGGGAAACTGAACCAAGCTAAAGCTGCAAAACTCCTGGTGGGATTAAATATTCAATCGTGTATTTTTGCTTAGTGCATATAGTGCTTGCTAGTTTAGGGGAGCAAAGAGAGATCCTTAAAGATGCAACGTGCAAGCTTTCTGCTTGAACTAAGTCAACTAAAGGATGTCATACACTTCAAACTCCCACAAAATATAGCCTCCCTGGTTTTACCTTATCCTTTAAGACAAACAAGTAGAAATTGCTTCAAAGCAGGGGGGACGCTCTCAATGCTTGCCAAAAATCCTAAAAGGGTAGCTCCATGTACAAGTATCCTCCTTACAATACTATCTTTTCATAAGATTGCTAAACTTTAATTAATCATGAATATATTATCATCAACTTTGAGTGTATTCAATACAATATTTTCTCTTGTTGGTCTGTATCTTATTCTCATGCAATATGTGCCGACATGACATCTTAAGCTTCTAGAGTTCAACTTGTGTTTACATTGTAACTTTAATTTAGAAGTTTAATCAGTGAAATTTTTACTCTTTTACACCACATACTTTTATGGTATGCTCTTTAATGTTTTATATTTTTTGTTTGTGCATGCCCAGCGCCCCAGCCATATCTTTATTTTGTCTCTCTGTAAAAGCTACTTTAATGCTTCAACATTTCTTTCTTTTCAGGGATGGAGGCCCTTGGTTCCGTGGATGATCTCTTGGATTTCTCATCAGACATAGGTGACGAAGATGACGACGATGACAAAGCTAGGAAAACCTTTCCTTCACTTAATCCAAAATGCAATAATCCATCATTGTTTAACCCATTGGACCTGGATGATCCTAGCCATTCATTTTCTGTAAGTTTTATGGTCCATTTAAACCTTTTTCGAAATGTTTATGAGGCCATGAGAAAATTGAGTATGTTGGTTTTTGATTCAGTTATGACTTGTTTCGGGCTTCTGTGATTACGAAAAGAGAAACGATGGGAAAAGCATTTATGAATTATGGTTTGTTTGGAATTTGCTGGATTTGGGATTTGGAGTGGGCTGAATTGGGTGAGTGAATTGCAGATGGTGCAGAAGGCATTAAGAGGAATAAGATATATGGAATTATGGATTGTATAGTGAGCATAAAAGGTTTCTAATTGGCTCTCAACATGAGGGCAGCTTTTATATCGGGACAAGTTTGTCCTGTTGAACTCTTAATGTTGGTGGTCATATACTAGTGTTACTACAGGATTGTCTGAGTTGCTCATGGGTGGCTTCAAAATGGTAAAACTAAACTTAAACTTTTCTTTGTGCATGCTCATGGAAGATGGGCCGGGGTTTTTTTTTTTTTTGTGGGGCATCAAAAGTAGAATATCCACAATTGCTCACAGATTTTTTCTTATTTTTCGTTTAGCTTCATTGTATTGGAAACTCTAGATTGGCAAATGAACAATATATTGTGTCTTTTCATCATACTGCTCATTATTGCTATGGTTCCAATGTTTCCATATTGTGGAGCCGTATGTTTCTGATGGAACCCAAATTTATAACACTAATTTTATTGCATCAATGGAGGCATAGCCTCATTTTACAAACACTAATACAAGAGCAAGATACTGAAATACCCTAACTCACCCTTAGAACCAACTACCTTAGGCTCTAAGAGATCCCCAAATCCCCAATATTCACTCAATACATGCATACCCCACTCCAAACTTTCCCTCTCTTTTTATCCTATTTCCTAAGAATATTCTAGAAGAATTCCCCAACTAACTAACTCCCTCCCTCTTTTTTAGGCCCATCAGTACTCCCTCTCCAAAACTCACCTTGTCCTCAAGGTGAAGAAAGAGGATAGGCAACGTGACGGAACTTTCACACGGATCCTTGTGCTTGAAACATATTGACCCAATTGGCAATTTCAATGTTTTCATTTCATGAACCTCTCCTACAGTATATTCCTGATTCACTGCACTCAAATTAGTAGCACATTTAGACTGAAATTGTACGTGCAAAAAAGGAGTAGGCACATGGATGCCACAAAACATCTGCTATCTCTTTCAAGTGCTCAAGGATAAAAGGTGGATTAGTCATTCCAATACGCAGCATTGTGATCGCATCACCTGGCAGTTTTGCTACTAAGGCATTCAATAAGGTTGGAAGTTTGACACCAGTGTCACGATCATATGCTCTAGTGTCTTCACTATGAATAGGAACATATTGGCTTCCATTTCCTGGCCTGTATTAAAAAGCCCACTTCTTCCTTCAAAGTTATTAGAGTTGGGCTTCACCTCTGACTGAATGCTAGCCTTATTCCTAAGTGTTGGACGGTTATAATGACTAGCTGCTTGGATTAACTCATACCCTATATGCTTTATTGGAGCTCTGACCCAATTGCGCACCTTTTCCCTTTCTTCAACCCGCTGCAGTAGTGTCATTATGCTGCTCAGGTCCGTCTACCCCTGTAAACAGACATGCACCTTCTGTGCTAAAGCGATCATCTTCAACCCGCTGCGGTAGTGTCATTATGCTGCTCAGGTCCGTCTTATCTTCTTCTCCGTCGTCTTCTATTTCTGCTGCTCCTTCATCTTCATCTTCTTCCTTATCTTGTTCGATTGCTTTGTCTTTCGCTTCTTTGTTTCCTTCTGCTCCTCATCCGCTTCCTTCTTTTTCTACTTCTTTTGTTTGACTCAGATCAGCGAACGCGTGAAGATAGATCACTGCCTTGATTTCCTCTCTCAAAGCCTTGAGCTTTACTCTCCTCTTCCTCTCATCTTCTCATGGGTTAGATCCCATTTTTGACAGATCTACACGGCCTAGGAACTCCCGAACGGTTTCTCGAAGCTGACAAACCACTTCCTCAACTCCACTCATCCATTTTCAATAACTAAGTGCGCCTCTCGACTTTCTTCATCCTGTTTTACTTTTTTTTATTTTATTTTTGGTAAGGACCAACAACACTTCCTAGATCGAAGATGCTCTGATACCAAAATGATGGAACCCAAATTTATAGTACCAATTTTATTGCATCAATGGAGGCATAGCCTCTTTTTACAAACACTAATACAAGAATAAGATACCAAAGGACCCCTACTCACCCTTAGAACCAACTACCCCAGGCTCTAAGAAATCCCCAATATTCACTCAATACATGCATAACCCACTCCAGACATTCCCTCTATTTTTATCCTATTTCCTAAGAATATTCTAGAAGAATTCCCCAACTAACTAACTAACTCCCTCTTTTTCAGGCCCATCAGTTTCTCAGCTCAGAAGAAAAGAAAATGTGTTATGCCTTGGAGTTACAATATTCAGGCAGTTCTCAACATTACCCAAATCAGTGTATCTAAGCTAGGAATTCAGTTGGTGAAACAAGACAATTTTTATTGATGGGTAAACAAAATACAAGAGAAAAATATCTTCTCAGGGGTTAAGACTCTTTCCACTGAGTATTCTCAGTTACAACTTTAACAAAGAATTCACTTCACTCCCATTTAAATTCAGTCTCCCCCTATTTATACACACCCCTAGCCCCACTAATCAATGATTCAAGGCAGAACCAATTTGCTATCAGCCTACTTTTAACTACTTTCGAACTGCCTGCCTAAGTTTGTTTGGGCCTACTAGTGGGCACTCTTAAGGCTTTTCACCCAGCTGTAAGATGGTCCGTAACAGAATGGCTGACACTTTTTTTTAATTCCATGGTCACAAGAGGGTGAGCCTGGAGCAGTGGTAAAACTATTTCTTTGTGACTGAAAGATCACGGGTTCAAATCCGGAAAACAACCTCTTTGCATATATGTAAGGATAAGGCTGCGTATAAGGATTGTGTTCACCCCATCTTTGCTAGTCATGGTTTAAATGGTCACCGTGTTTGTGACTAGTTGCTTGAGTCTGATGCCTGATTTTACTTGTAAAACCTTTTTTTTTTTTTTTTTTGTACTTACAGAGTGATATGAAGAATAACAAACCCCTATTTTCATGTTCCAGGAGTTTGCAGAAGAAGAGCTTGAATGGCTATCCAACAAGGATGCATTTCCTGCTGTTGAAACATTTGTTGACATACCCACTATTCAACCTGACATGTCAAAGCACCAAAGAAGGGCAGCCCCAGTGATTGAGTACAGCACAAGCAGTACCAACAGTAATAGCAGTCCCAACAGCATTACCCTCTTAAATGGATATGATCACCTGAAGGTCCCTGTCCGTGCACGGAGCAAGGGTCGTAGTAGGCCACGCCCTGGCATTGCTGACATCTCTAGCCAGCAATTCTGGTTGAGACAACCAAGTAATGAAATTTCCAAAGTAGAAGAAGTGATAAAAATCTCAACCATTGGGAGGAAATGTCAGCATTGTGGAGCTGAAAAGACTCCACAATGGCGGGCAGGTCCCCTTGGGCCAAAAACCCTGTGTAATGCATGTGGGGTTAGGTTTAAGTCTGGGCGGCTTGTGCCTGAATACCGTCCCGCAAGTAGCCCAACATTTCATAGTGAAATGCATTCTAATTCCCACAGGAAGATAATGGAGATGAGGAGGCAAAAGCAAATGGGATGGTTTGAAGGCCATGAATAAAAGGCAAAGTGGTAGTGAGCATTGCTTTTAGCATTTAGCATGTTAGGACTTAGGGTTTTGGTTTTCTTTTCGATTTTGATTTATTCTAATTTAATTTTTTGTCCATTTTTTCTCTGTGATGGTTTTAGATAAGCATTGAAAATTCTTGATGGAAAATGAAGTTAGGAAGGTCTTAAATCATTTGTGTCTTTGTTGTGCTGAGGACAAGAAGCCAAACTGAGAATTTTTTATTTTTGATTTTTGATTTGGGTTGTAACGTATGCTTTGATTGGGGATCAGGGAGAGGTTGAGTTGCTAGAATGATGGTTTGGTCCCTTTACCAGAGAGGACCTCTTATGCTTATCTGAACTAATTCTAAATTTATGGACAGTGGAGTAGTTGATTTTAATGAATTATGACATCGTTCGAGGAGTTATGCCATCATCATCATCATCCCTGTATTTGAAAAAAGAAAAAGAAATATGGCGTCTATCCTAGATGTACAAGGTATGTTCTTTATTATTTGATAAGGATGTCAAGATGTATTCGACAAAATTGAATTGATCAAGCCTTGGCGGCAACATGAAATCTTTATGGTTTCATTGCAAAGATGGATACAGTTTGAGAAACAGAATCCTTTTTGGTTATATCTTGCAAGCTGCTCTTGTATGATTGATTTTGTCCATTGTGTTCATAATAGATATTGGAATGCAGATTTGTACTTTCTCCTTCGAATTAGTTTAAGATCATACCAATGGGATCATTAATATTAGTCCTGCAACATTGCATTTACACAATACATTAGTTTGCTTTATCATTTATGACAATTTGTCAAAATATGTTACAAATTAAGAATTACCATGATAGGATCCAACCAATACCAGATTAAAAGCCAGAAAATAGGAAATATTGTATCAAGTATGTGACACTTTCCCTTGTATGCATACAAGGGAAGTGTATGCTAAAATCGATTAGAGTCGCGACGTTATCGTATTAAATTCTTGTTTCGTAAAAACTTTTTGATGTCACAAATAAAATCTTGACTTGAAAACAGACTTCATAAAACAACACAGCTAGAAATTTTCGACAAAGGCTTTCGCTGCTGAAATAGTAATTTTTCCTAAAAACAGTCTGTCTTACAAAAATCATTTAAAATTAAACTTACGAGCTTTCCAAAATTTTCTTTGACACGAAGAAAGAAAACACCTGGGGCTTCACGTATGTATAAAATATAGTTCATTCGGAGTTCCGTATCTCCCGAAACAGAACTCGCAAGGTACTCGTTAATTCAGTGCCATTTTCCTAAAACATACCTGACTTGTACAAATACTATAAAATCTGGTTTACAAGCTTTTGGCATAAATTTTATATAATTTAAAAGTGGACATCTGGAGCTTTATATACATATAAATTATGCCTCATTCGGAGGTCTGTAGCTCCAGAAATAGAACTCGCAAGATGCACTAAAAATCAGTATAAAATCCGAATTAAGGTATGTGCTGTGTTTATTTTGAAAACTTCGTACCAAAGGCTAATTGAACTCAAGTTGTGACTACAAAATTCCACCATACAGAAACTGACTTTTATTAATTATTAAACCCCAATGTCTTACCTATTTGCACCCAATTAAATCCTGCTTTACACATAAAATACATATCTTACTTAAGCTGAATTTCTGAATAACAGTAACAGCATATACAGTTACAAGTATACCATGCGTAAATGAAATTTCATAAGTCTGCAATGCCTCACAACAAATCAAAATCCGAAATCAAAATTGTCAATCTTCGTAACCTTACATTATATACCTTTATTCAGCTTTCAACCAAACAGAAACAGAGACCAAGCAACAGAAATTCCCAGACAGCAAAATATCAACAAAATACTGCCAAAGACATACTTTATCAACTATTTCTTCGTCCTCCTGCAATTTAGGGTGAGAAAAATCCCAGTAGTGTGGCAGAAAATCCAGCAATGCAACATTGTTAACTTAGACACCGAATTTCCAAAATTGTCACATCATCAAACAATTCCAGAACAAATTCCAAAATATAATCAGGATGCGTATATAACGCCAGAGTACTAATCAGAATGCGTATATAACGCCAGAATAATGTACGTTCATAGCACTGCAGTGCACGTTGTAACACCCCGTATATATCCGGTAATGTTATCGTACTATCGTATTAAGTTGCGCTTAATTAAAAATGCGGAATATCTTTTTCTTTTCAATTATGAAGTTATTATCATTACCAACTTGCTTATTAATCAATTAATAAAACATTGCCTGTATGCAATTGCAATAAAACAGCTAACTGAAATACCTCATTAATTAAAATAACATAATGTATGTCTCTAGTCACAGAACTACAACACGTAGACCGGACTAACTATCAGTTTATACAACTCAACTCAAAAGTACTAACAACATAGTGGCATAGACAACTCCCATGCTCACCCAAATAAGACAACAAAGCCCAACATAAGTCTCAACTCAACAGCAACATAAAGATACAGGCGAAAAACATAAACAACATCCAATCCAGTCATGCCAGCATATAACATATAACAGCAATAATCATCAGCTAAGCTCTGGCCTCTTGTCGCCAGAGGCATCAGTCACCATACTACCTGAACCTGAAATAAGCATTCCCCAAACGTGGGGTGAGATCTCTAAACAAGAAATCTCAGTAAGACAAGGGGTCCTCAAGGATCTTCCACCCCAAGCTCACTTACATGTGCAGTATAAGTTCAAAAGCAGTTCATCAATATCGTTTCTAAAACAGTGCAATGCAGCAGATAATCATGTCATGTGTGTCAATACTATTCTACTGATCAGAGAAATGCAGGAATGCGTCTATTACCCACACAATATGCAAGACGCAACTTGTACCCACCCACGGACTCACCATCTTGTATGACGCCACATACTCAGGCTTACCGACTAAGTGGAAACAACACATACATATTATAAGCCATTGTACATATCAGCTCAAAAGCATTTCAAAATATCCAAAGCATGTAACACAACATGCATATAACCATACCCCCATGGGACATGGTGGAACCACAACATGGCTAAACCGAGAACACGGAAGCTTACCTTTCAAGCTAACACCCAAAGCCAAGAGTCCACAACTTAAGTCCAAACACAGCAGAGTCACAATCTGATATGGACCAACAATACATCAACAATCATACTCTACAAGTATACAACATAAAGACAACGCCTTTTCATTACGTTTTACGTCTTAAGGCTTCTCACCAAGCCATAAGCCCTTAATCACATGATTCTGACTTACATTAATTAATTACAGAAGCTCAACTTCCTCAAACTAGGGTCCACAAACCCATAGATCAGTTTTAGATGAACAGTACGCTACTGTTCCTCGCAAACCCAGAATATCCGGATATTCCTCGGGGGCATATTCGGATATCACATATCCGGATATCCAGATCCCCATATCCGGATATCCAATATCCGGATATTTTACGAGCAGATATCCGGATATTTCGCGACAGAATGCAGTTTCTGCATTTCGCGAAGATATCCTTCCAAGGTTCCATTTTTAACACTAAAACACGTTGAAGCATGCATTTTTACACCCTCATAGGTTTACATACCATTTGTTACATCTTATACTGTTTTATTAAAGTTTGTATTTAATGAAATGCATTTCTCTAGTATTTATGTTGGTTGTGTCATAGGGGGAATTAATTGGTAACGAAGAAGATGGAGCAACAGAGATCCATTTGCTGAAGTCGTGTATGAATGAATTCAAATTTCTCTGGCAGACCCGGGATTTTTTATAACAGGGGATAAAAATAAAATTATAAAATTACAAATATTATTAAGACTAATAGGAAATACTAACTACCCTTGATACTTCTTCAATGCATATACTTTTCATAATGATACAAATATGAAATTGAAATAGAAAACATAGAAAGCACAAATGAGTTTAAGTTTATCAACAAGACAACGACACCAAAATATATGTATATATTTTTTTTAGGTAAATGATCGCCTATAATTATATTAACAAAATTTACAGTCTTAGAAAAAAAGAAACAAATGCTTACCTCAGTTCGTGGATTTTTAAAATTTTAAGGTTTCATTCATAAGGGTTTCACCCTGCTTACGTTACACTTTCATTTTTCATAGATGCAATCACACCAAGAGTGAAAAACACAACAATGCTCTCTCTGGCTTTTCTCTTTCAAGAGTTTTATTTCACCCAAATATTACATTTAATAATCATTACATAGAATACATATAATCTTCTATTACAAATATATCTTATTAATCAATTCGTAACACTATAAACATCACAAGATAACACAAGGAATAATGAACAGAAATATTTTCGTTGACCATAATTGATTCCGCCAAAAAAAGGTATAAACAAGCATAGCAGAAAGAACAATGTCAAATACTCAAATCTCTCAAAACCGTTCCAACCAAAAAAAGTGTAAACAACTATGAACAGTATCAAATCTCTTAATAACAAATTTCCCCTTCTTCCAAATTGTTGAGATATATAGTCCCACATTGGTTGTATGTGCAACTAATGTGACCAATGTGGGACTATATTTCTGAACACAAATCCTCCACATCTTCATCTGAAGTAATATAGTCATCCTTGAAAAATAAACCAAGCCGCTCGAGTGGGTTTTGAGCACGAGATTTATCCATTGCAACTCTAGAGCAATGTTTACTGCCGAAGTCTCCATAACACAACTTACCCCCACACAACATTTCAAGCTCAAACCAAATCGTCAAGTCATTCTGTATCTCAACAGTTCTTTCAATCTACCAAAGAAGACACATAGAGTGAAACTTCATGTTGTCATTTTGAAAAACCATTATAAAAAATATATTATACAAGAACAAAACCTTTTGTATTCTGACTCGTTCAGCTTCTCTTTCTTTTTCTAACGCTTCATTGGCTTTCATTCTTGCAGCTACCACAACAGTGTAAATGAAGCAAAATGCAGCATTTATATTATATAAAAGCTAGAAATAAAGCTTCATAGTCCCCAAATCAAAATTCAACTAAGATAATGAGCATTTAAATATGAAAACAATCATAAAGTTATATTAAACCAAATTAATTTTTTCCCCAAGTATGGAAATAACAGATGCTATATTCACCTTCAAGCTGTTTCCTTTCCCTTTCCTTTTGCATCTTCATTTTCACACCCTAAACAAAGAAAGACAAAAGGAGTTGGGGAATAATGCTACATTCAAAACTACAAACTATTAAAACACAAGGAGAAAGTACCATAACCAAGATATGCAAAAGCCTTACCTGGTCCAAAAGTGTTTCATTTTGTGCTTTACGGATAGTATCTGCAAAGCGGTGCTTCAGTGTAGCAACACGGATAGCCTGTTTGGGTGATAACAGTATATCATAAACAGGAGTGCTCCATTCTGGAAAAAAAATAGCAATTAAAGTCATACCAATTCACAATATAAAATGCAGTAGCAATTAAATGAAGCATAAATGGAAAAGTTGACCTTCTCTAGAAAGGGAATCAGTAACAGGTGATGTAAGGTGAGAAGTATAACATCCATGTTCACTACCGAGACAACTTGCAGCCCCTTCACATACTATCCACATCATCAGTGCATTCCAAATTATCGAAGAAGTTACAGGTAGAACGTCACATATCACAAATCAATTGCAACGAATCTGTAACAACTTAATGCTTTGTACCTTTGTGTAAGTTTTTCTGAATCAATTTGCAACGAGTCTGTAACGACTTAGGAACCTCAACCTATATAATCAAAGTATTGCCACAATTAAAAAATATTATGAACATACATAAAACAAGCAAAACACAATAACAAGCAACATTATGTTACATCAATTCCAACACATGTATTACATTTTCGCAAATTCCAATGTGGCTTACTTCCCTCGAAGAAAACAATCCTTACTTTAGCATGTCTTCCATCCAATGAACTAATCTTCTGAATTTCTTTCATTTCAGGTACTTGCAACATTTTGGGCAAGGTATCCTTTTGCAGTGGAGGCATCCTATTACAAAATTTTCTCACATGTCCCCTCACTGCTCCAGTCATAATTTTTTCATTCGCATTTTCACACTTGCATTTTTTCTCCAAGTCTTTCCATTTTCTCTCAAATATTTTTTTGAGCTCCGTTGCCATTAAATGAACAGCATTCATAGGAGGATTATATGTCATGGCATTTGAAAAGGTCAATCTAACATCAGCTGCAAATTCCTCAATGCTAAAGTAAATATTTTTTTCCAGCTTGGATTTAATAGTGCCTAAATCCATGGGATGAGATATGACTGTAAAATAATCTGGAATGTTCAATGCCACAGGATCCACTGGCTTATTAAAAGCCCAACCATGTCTGTGGGATGTTAGACTCTTCAGAATGGCAGTACACAGAAGAGATGTTTTCCGATCTATCTTCTACCTTTTCTCTTTATGGCCCTCGATAATACCTTGTGGTCCTCTCTTGATGGAACCTGTCATAGAGGATTTTTCCTTTGAATTAGAGCACTCATTCTCATCAAAGTGGGATGCTTTTTCTATAAATTCATACTTTTTCAATCCAGAATCAACTTCAACCCTTGAGCATAATGTTTTGATTTCCAAATTCTTAGGATCCAGAAGGCACACTTTGCTGCAAAGGCATCAAAGAAACAATACATCAATCCATATTGGATAGCCCAAACAAGGTGCCCAAAAAAAAAAAAAGATAGCAACAGTCCCAGCAAAAATAATGTAACCCAATTCAACAAGCATAATTAATTTAGGGATAAAATATAGCACCATATGACGAAAAAAAATCAAATATTAAATAACACCATATATCAAACACATTTTTGCGCAAAGTAAATCACATTTTTATAAATTACCAAAAAAAAATCACATTTTGTATAACACAAACGCTGGCTTGCATATACCAGTGAATTAGATTAAAAAAGAAATTGACATCAAAACACCAAATTCAGACAATTTTTTTTTTTACAACTTGCATAAACCCAGGCCAAAAAAACTCAAAACTATCCAAAACCTATATTCCCCGAAACCACAAATAAAAAAATTTGGGAAAAACTTTAATAATATTCCTATGGTTTGCTTTAAAATCAAAAATACCCTTTAACCTTTTAAACAGTAATGGGTCTGTGATATAGAAAATACCCATACCCTCTTTATCACCATTAATACATTTATGTGTTTCTTTTATTATTGTCCCAGTTTAAACAACACATATAATCACACTTTGAAGGGTTTAAATAAGAGCAATAATGGAGGAGGGGCACGCAGCTGTTAAGGAAGAAGAGTATGTTGTTTTCTACACTATGGATGTTTTTTTTATTCAAAAGAAAACTTTAAGAGTAAAATTATTCAAAAAAGGAGAGAGGAGAAAAGAGAAAACACAGAAAGTAACCAAGAAGTCCCTAATCCCGCCCAGTTTGCCATTCATATCGGAACGGAAGGGTTTTTTCTTAAAAAGAAAAAAAAGAAAACTGAAATTTTATGAGTAAGCAATTTTATTGAGAGAGAAGCAACTTTATGAGAAAACAAAAATAATAATAATTTTTCATGACAAAATTGTATCGTGTATATATTAAAAAAAAAAGGCATGTCCGAAATCATTTGTCTGCGGTGAAGAGAAAAAAAAGGAGAGAGAGAAACTATAAATATGATAGAATAGACCCCACTCTATTTTTTCTCTTTCGAGGCAGACAAAAAGTTTCTACCTTTAGAAAAGCAATCATTCCCCTTAAAAAAAATGGGTGGAAGGAACTCGTTCTCATTCTTCTTACTAATTGTATCAGACAATTTTATTGAGAAGTTATATTCCCAGCAAAGCAAAATACGACAAAACAAAAACCATCTTACCCGAACAATAGAGAGAGAGACAGAGCGCCGAACTGCATGGAGGGACCACGCTTGCAATAGGGTTTTACTCGCAACAGGGTTTTACTCCGAACAGGGTTTTAAGTTTTAACCGTATATATAACCTAATTCAAATTTTTCAAATTTTTCACTAGTGGAGCATAGATTATAATCTCTACAACCACCTATATATTAAAGAAATTTGGAGCAGAGAACCGGTTGGTAACCAGAAGAATATTAAATAAATTAAACTAAGTTTTTGAACTAAGAAGAGAGAATAGTAGAGGAGAAATGTTGAAGAGTGAATTGGTTTGGTTAGGCTAGACCTCTATTTATAGTTGAAGTTTTGGGCTCAAATATGGATTTCGTGCATTTATTTCCTTATTCTTTATTGATGTATCTGGCTCAGATTTTGGCTTTATACACTATTTTCTTATTAATTTCTTATGGCTCAGATTACAGCTAACTTATTTGCTAACTCACTCATTATTGACTCATCATATCTAATCAACATTACCAATCAACATTACCAATCAAACATTACCAATCAATCATTACCAATCAATTATTATTAATCAATCATTATCAATCAAACATTATCAATCAAACATAAATGCTTAAATCATCAATCAATTAATAATCCAATTAATTACAATTTATCATCTAATATGTATATA